CAGAATGGATCAAGAAACAAAATCCAACAATATGCTATATACAAGAAACATATTTAATTCAAAAGGAAATTCATAGACTGAAAAATCAAAGGACAGAACACAATACTCCATGCAACAGGAGCACACAAAAAAAGTAGGGGTAGCTATTCTATTTGCAGAGAATGTCAACTTCAAACCAAGCATGATCAACAGAGATAAAGGTCACTACATACTTGTTAGGGGAAAATGCAAGAGGAAGAGATAATAATCATAAACATACATGCATGAAATATGGGAGCACTCAACTATATAAGACAAATTCTAATAGATGTGAAAAATCAAATAAGCAGTAAGACAATCATAATGGGGAATTTTAATACCCTACTTTCACAAAGAGATAGATCAACCAGACAAAGAATCAGCAAAGAAATAACAGAAATAAATCAAACTTGTGAACAAATGGACTTAGTAAACGTTTACAGAGTATTCCACTCAACAACACAGAATACACATTCTTCTCAGGTGAACATGGAATAGTCTCTAAAATAGACCATATACTAGCCCATAGAACATGCTTACATAAATGCAAAGGACTTGAAATTATCCCACACATATTATTGTACCATAGTGCAATGAACTTGGAAACTATTGACAAAGGAAATTGCCAAAACTCCATAAACATAAGGAAATTAAATAACATCCTCCTGAACAACCAATGGGTCATACAAGAAATTAAACAATATTTACAATCAAACAGAAATGCAGATACAACTTATCAGAATCTATGGGACAAAATGAAAGCAGTCCTCTGAGGGAAATTTATAGTGGTGAATTCTCACATCAGGAAAACATAACGAGCACAAATGAACAACCTCATGCTGCACCTCAAGCTTCTAGAAAAAGAAAAGCAACTCAAGTCCAAAGCCCAAAGAAGGCAGGAAATTATAAAGCTCAGAGCAGAAATTAACACAATGGAGACTAAGAAAACAATACAAAGAATTAATGGATCAAAGAGTAGGTTCTTTGAAAGAATAAATAAAATTGATAAACCTTATCAAAAAAAGGAAAGAAAAAACTCAAATTCATGTAATGAGGAGTAAAAAGGATGAAATCACTGCAGATCTTGTAGAAATTTAGAAGGTCTTCAATACCTACTTCAAAAATCTTTACTCTCACAGGATGGCAAACATAGAGGAAATGGACAGATTCCTAGATATGCATAAATTACCAAGGCTGAATCAAGATGATATAAAAATCCTGAATAACTCAATATCAGTCAATAAAATTGAAAATGTACTAAAAAACTTACCAACAAAGAAAAGCCCAGGACCTAATGGAATCACAGCTGAATTCTACAAGACATTTAGAGAAGATTTAACACCAATTCTTCTCAAACTCTTTAATGAAATTGAAAGGGAAGCAATTCTCCCAAAGTTATTCCTGGAGGCAAGTATTACCCTGATAGCAAAACCAGAGAAAGACCCAACCAAAAAAGAGAACTACACACCAATCTCCCTAATGAATATAGATGCAAAAATTCTCAATAAAATGCTAGCAAACAGAATACAGTAAATCATCAAGAAGATTGTACATCAGGACAAACTGGGATTCATCCTAGGAATATAGGGATGATTCAATATATGCAAATAAATAATATAATACACCATATCAATAGAGCAAAAGATAAAAACATGATCATCTCAATAGATGCAGAAAAATCTTTTGATAAACTCCAATACTCACTCATGATAAAAAAAAAAAAAAACTGAAAAGTCAGAATAGATGGTCTTTACCTCAATCTGATAAAAACCGTCTATGACAAGACAATAACCAACATTACACTAAATGGACAAAAACTGAAAGCTTTCACTTTAAAATCAGGAATAAGGCAAGGTTGTCCACAGCCACCACTCCTTTTCAATATAGTGTTGGAAACATTAGCCAGAGCAATTAGACAAGAAAGAATAAAAGGAATAAGGATAGGAAAAGAGGAAGTAAAATTATTATTATTTGCAGATGACATGATACTGTACATAGAAGACCCCCCAAACACCATGATATTCTACATAGAAGACCCCAAAACTTCTAGATTTAATAACCAAATTCAGTACTGTACCTGGATACAAAGTCAATACTGAAAAATC